CCCTCAATAATTTTAAAAATAATTCACTATTACACCTACTTTTTTTGGATTTATCCTTCATTCCATCACATTATTTCACTATCTTCCCATCATACCCTCAATAATTTATATCCTCTTTCACTATTCTTAATCTACCTACTTTTCAAATGGGAATACACATAACATTAGAATTATACACCACGAAACATGAAGTTAAAAACAATGATTAAGTTTTATTATTAAACACTAAACATGGTGTAAAATCAAAGTATAATTACGGAATTATTTAATTAACTCTCATCAATTGAAAACCACCCACAAACGTGAACCAAACGCGGTGTTACATCAAGTGCGCCTTTGATTAATATAAGTAGACCACGTAGAGTAATAATGCACAAATAGTAATAGTAATGCTTGAGTTTGAGTGCAAGATTGCAAGCAAGCAGTATGAACGGCCATGTTTGGATTTCTTGTTGCGTAATATTGGATCATCACAATTCGTGAGAACCTTACAATTCTTACTTCCCAATGACGAAATGTAATTAGTCACGTAACGTAAAGCCAAAAGTATAATTAATTAGTGGGTCTTTCATTTCTTGAGTGTTCAACATATTCTATAATTTCTTAATGCATCATATTCACATGTGGAAGTACTTACACTATACTGAGTATTTTCTATGTTTTCCTTTTTATGTATAATCTAGGCCGGTGTCAGGGCTTACGCTCCCATAATCCTGGAGTCTATGAACTACCCTCCAAAATTCCTAGACAGTTAAATCTGGATATAATCACAGTCAATCTCATTGGTACTGACTCCAAAGGACGAATTCAGCATGACTTACATCGTCCGCTCCTTCCAGACTGCTCCTCCCACCACATGAACTCTCAATACCTTCATCATCATCATCTCCCTTCTCAACCGCTGAGCAACTCCGTGAAGGTAGGAAGAATTATTGGGAACAAGACACTCTTCATTTTCCTTTGGTGGGAGTTGAACTCAAGACCTCTCACAAAGGTGATACTTGGGGGTGGATGGTCATCCATTGGACTACACCCACCAATCCTGGAGTATTTTCTGATTTACTATGAGGAGTGAGGACTATGACTATAAAAATAACATTTATAGAATTTGTGAAGTTAAAATTTACCTAGAAAAATGAATCAGTATTAACTACACCACTTCAATGAACAAAATTTGTTGCATTATTATTTAAGACTCCACTGAAAATGAATCCTTTTCGATTCCACTTAAGCATTTATGTGGGTTATGTAAAGGAAAATTCCTCTAATTAGAACTAAAAATGTTTGTATATTTCAAAATACATTTCTCATGTTCTTATTTCTAAACTATAACTAAATATTGTCATGTTATGGCAGTATCAGACTTCAAACATGACAATATTTTCTAAACTTAGCATTTTAAATTACTCTTATTTGAGTAAGAAAACCATGACAATCCTTTATCAAATTTACAAACTTTTTTACTCTTATTTTGGTAATTTCCCTTTATACAACACGTTTATTAGTAAGTGTTTTATATATACATATAATAAGAGGTTTAATTCTTGAATGTACGTTTGTATCGACCATCATGATATAGGAAATTTAGTCATGTGGCATGTTGATTCGTCACGGATTTAGATTATGATGAAACTCCGGTGGCAAGGCATGGCCGGCATTTAGATGGAATGATCAATTCAAGGACTCACGGGTGCTTGATTGTTGGAGTGTTTAGTTGTTTGCTTTGAATTGTGGGTACTGCGCATGTTTTGCTGGGATAGTTCCAAATTCTTACTCACAGTCACGTGTTCCTAAGCTACCGCCAATTTTGAGGTTGGATAGAGATGAACACATAAAATTAATAAATTAGAGATATCTCTTTTCTTACTTGAACAACTGTATATGTTTTTGATAAGTTTTTCTGCACGTCTACATGTAGATGTTATGGTTGACGTTGTTGAGAAAAACTTACCTAAAAATCATGAGATTGTGGAAAGAATGAGAGATAAATGTCATGAATGTATTTTTTGTGCACGTTATAATATTAGAGGTGTTCTAACTTAAATATTAGGAGATGTTTTTAATTCACGTAAATTACATCACACTCAAATAAATAAGATCACACGTAATATGAAAATTAGATCAAACCATACTAAATCAAGCTTGAATAAGACGGGGTATTAAAATACACATAATATAGACATCCACAAGATCAAATTAGATTAAATCAAATCAGTTCAGATCATATCGAACTTAAAGTAACTAGATTGGATTAGACCAGACCAAATCATGCAGACTAGATCAGAAAATTTGAACCCAATTAAAAACATCCTTAATATTATTAATACATCAACTACAAATTCAAAAGGTTTTGTGTAACAAGAGTAATCTTCCGGTCATGAATTCCTGACCGGAATGCCGTTCGGCCACCTCCATTTAAGGTGCTTCCGGTTGAATTTTTTGAACATATTCTTTTTATGAAATTTGAAGTCATACTCTTCGGATAATGGACTTCACTTTAGAACAAGCGAGTTTTAGTTTAGTCTCCGATTTGATCCGTTAATGTTGCGTTATCGAAATTTTTAGGATGTTGTGATGGTCAAGCGGCGTGCTCTCTTGCCTCTTGGTAAAAGACGGTACTAGATGGATTGCATATCCAATTGTTACAACAATTTGATATATTTATAAATGATTTATATTGCCAGAGATAATGATAACAATAAAATATGTACATTACATTTATAAGAAACTGCCTCATATAGTCATATAGAATGAAAAAATATTCAAGAGTATGCAAATGTTTACTCTTGAATTATAGGAGCATGTTACTCTTACTTATTGATAGTATGCATATGCATATTTTTCTCTTTACAGAAAACGTGTTATCTTATCTATATTAATTGTTACGTAGTACTTCAGAATTTTCTACGTTACGTTATTTTACTCCTTTGTGCACTTTGGATGAATTTTACTCCTATATACTATCTCGGTCCCAAAATTAACTTCTCGTTCGGTTTACGATAAAGCAACTTGATCCATGTTCATACTCGAATTATTTGTAGTGAATAAAATTTACATATTCAGAAACGACATTAAAACCGTTACAAAGTCTGATCAAGAAAATTTAAGTTTGATAAAAATTTGATATATAAAGCAAAAGATTATGAGTGATTCAAGTTGACCAATGAATAATGTCTCTGAAGTTGTTTTTGGGACGGAGGAGGGAGTACGTTATTTTCTCTAAGTTTAGTTCCATGATAATTTGGAGATAGATTGAAATAATTTTATGATCTTTAAGTGTTGTTTTATGATTTTAAAGTGTTTTTTCTATTTATACTAGTATTATGTATAATGTTTATCTTTAAATATTTTTTAAAGTGTTTTGTTTTGGACCGTTTTCAGTCACAGACCAGACCAGATTTTCATAGCTATAAAATACACAGAAACCAGACATTTACCAGACCAGACCAGTTCAGATCATATCAGATCGGACCAGATCAGATCAGCAATTTTCAGTCCAAAAGAAAACATCCAACGTATTATTTACTGTAATATATTTTGTAGAAATAATGGATTATAACGAACAAAATAAAGATAAAAGATAAAAATTAATTTAATACCTTTAATCATATTATTATTATTATAAGTTTTAGTGTTTTACGTAGTATTTTAGTTATAGATATGAATACTCAACAGGCCCAATTCTCAAATCATATGGGCTTTATAAACCCATGTTTTTATTTAGAGCATTGCATGATCCACTGATCCATAAGCCTAAATTTTCAGGAACATTCTGGTCACTGGCGTGGTCGTTTTTCCTGCATTCCTTTTTTATCGATGATCACTGTTATTGCTCACGGAAGCGAGGAACATCTAGAATAACTATCGCCAGGTACGTTCTTTTTTTCAAATTCTTCTCTCATTTTTGTCTGAATTTCTTGTTTCCCCATGGGAATATGCCACATAAAGTAATCCCAAGAGATACGAGGCATTTTCATTCATTGAGTTGGGAGATAAAATGCCTGATCATGTAAAATTTATTGAGTGTTTGAATATCGCATTGGATTTCTCAAATATATGATATAGCTAGCTTTGTTGGCTAACTCTGTGGTTTGTTGAAACCATTTATAGTTTACAGTGTTTTAGGCATGCGTGAAGCTGCTCGATTGTGGTTTTCTGTGGAGAAATTAAAACCCACTCATCAATTGAAAGGAAGATGGGGTATGCTTCTGTTCCTGTTTCTTTCAAGTTTTTAAATTTGTAGTATAGACTCACATAGTAGATAATGGAATATAATGTAATTAGATCCACATATAATATAAATTTACACAAAAATGAATTCCTGTCCTGAAAGGAAAAGATTCTTGTTTCAAATTCCCAAAAAAAATATTCTTATTTAAGCCATTGAAACTTTCTTCCATGAATTTTATGTGATTTCCCCCCATGAAATGGTGTGTTCCAAAATCCAGCTAGTTTAGCATGCTAAATTTAGTTTATTTTCACAAGAAAAATTACATAAGACATAAAATTTACCAGATTTCTACCCTTTCAAAATAAAAAGGTTGTACCTTGTTGAAACTTGAAACCGTGACACACGACTCTTTTTTGAACTGAAGAAGTATTTAATTACAGCACATGTTACTTCCTGTGAGGTTAATACCAGACTACGCCTTAGTTGAAATAAAGAACAGGTTTCATTTGAATGCATTGTAATATTTTGTGCAGTTGGAACTATCACACCGAGAAAACAAGGAAATAATGATGGAGGAGCAGGAGAAGGGCAAATTGGGAAGGAAAATCATGAACCCATAATTGCTTTTAGCAGGCCACCACCGATTCCACCATTTATCGGACCTCTGGTTGCTCTTTCACTGTTGCCATCATGTTTTAAAAGGGATGGAAATGAGGACTGATGATCATGGCAGGTCAGCAGGTGACCTTATATTTTAGGCATCTTGAGTAGTTTTCGGTTGAGTCTTGCTTTACATTAATAATCTAAAATAGACTGTTGTATATGATGAGTATTGTAAGAGTTGGTGAAAACTTTTGTGGTTTCTTCTACTACTTGTTGAAATTCTTTACCGCTAATTGCACAACTTTGAATGTGAGGCTCAGAAAAGCAGCTGTAAGCCTCATGAGTCTGAGGTACCATGATACAACTGGGCGTATCATAGGTCCTAAAACTATCTTGTATATGTTTAACAAGATTTGGAAGATTGCGTAAGGGCTATTTAGGAACCCTGCAGCATGAAAATTTATGATGTCTGTTAATATAATTTTCAATCCTCAAAATGACGATATTTTACTATTATAAAATGTCTATTCCTCATATAGATTAACCTTTTTTAGTTGGAACCCCAAAATTTAACAAAAAATGAAGATAATTAACTTACTCTCTGTAGCCCCAGGAAATGCATCAAAAATCAAATTTATGCCTTTGAACACGGTCTGTTTTGTCAAAGAATGTATATGAGAATCTAATCTGCCATCAATTAATGAACAGTTTTTTTAGAATATCAACTAATATACCAATGCTAGGCCTCCTGGTTTAACTGGCGATTCAATGATAACTTGGGCTTTCCTGTGTTTAATAGCCAAAAGAATTGTGTCAGTTGGTATATTAGTTGAAGTTGAGTGAAAAAATTCAGAATTTGATAAGATGTGTGAACTTGTACTTGATGACTAGTTGTTCTCCTTCTTTTGATAATTCATAGCAGCTGCATCCTCTAGTAAAGGGAACCTGCTTCTTCTTCCATTCTGCAATTACATTTATAGTATTGAACATTTCAAACCAATCTAGACATTAGTGATCTTCTCATTGAAGAAATGAGGAGGGTTGATTTTATCAATGAGAAGTCCATCTGGTAGTGGTAGATTTGATCAAGAAGAGTAAGTGTGCTGAATTTGTTAATATTGTAGCTGAAGGGCCAGAATTGGCTAATTTGGTTTTATTTTTTACAAATGATTTTAAAAAAAATGAATGAATAATACTTGTATTTACGAGTAAAAGATTAAGATAAAGGTGCCATTTATTTTCATTTCAGCCATTTAAATTTGCTATTTCTTATCATTAGGCTAATCCAGTCAAATAAGTAGTTAAAAATGTAGTACCACACGGGTCCGTAATTTGTGAATGTTGTGGAGTTACCTAAATGCCAGTTGACCACAGCTGTTTGGTCAATACCTCCACAAATATGCTCTATAACGAATTCTGTGTTCTGACCCATGGATGTGATCAACTCTTCAAAAAAGCATAAAGCTTCCTTCTTCCCTTCGAATGGCTGAGGGAATGAGAAGTCATCGACGAAACAATCTTGAGATAAAAGCGCTCCAAGGCTCTTCAAGTCCTTTTTATTGATGCTGGAATATAACTCCTTGATTATCTGCAACGAAGAATCTGAACCTCCGCTGCTGCCAATGGCGGCCCTACTAACCAGCAAGTGCAAAGGTTTGTTCTTCTTGATCCCTTTTCCCGTGAATGCTTGTGGAAGATGTCCTTTCGTCTCCGTCCTGTGCATTTCCAGTGCTGGGAATAGTGGGAGACGGTGACCGTGAGTCATTGATTTTGACTGTAGGGGATGCAGTATCATAGCATGTCCTGAAAGCGCCATCGTTAACTGCTATGAAGTTCTTGAAGGGAGCGTAATAGTATGATACTATGATGTGAATTTATATGACCTGAGGTATCCATTGTGTAACAGTGCTGAATGGATATATCGTGCCCTAGCCTCAAATTAAAGAACCTATTTCTGAAGGATTGAAAGCTTTGTTGTTCTGTTTGGTTTTCTTGAACTGGGCGGGAAAAGAATAATAGCATTGAGAGAAGTAATGAAGAGAAGAAAAGAATATTTGCCGCAGGAGCTTTCATTGTGAGATTGGCGTATTGCATTGCAAACTAAGGATGTTTTTACTTGGACTGGCTTCAGTCCCAGACCAGATTTAGATAATTATAAATTACATAGAGAGATTACATAGAGAGATTAGACATTTACCGGACCATAGCAACAATTTCAATCAAAATAAAAACATCATGATACATCAGATTGCCAAATATTCCTTTGATTTGATGAAGTGCGCATTCTGTATTTCTGTTTGACATTCGGATAGCCAAACCAATTGTCATGAAAAGAGTTTGACCAAATTGCACATTTCATGAAAACCAATTGCCATCTCATACACTATTCATATGGTTACTTAATTAGTTAATTAATTATTAATTTAATTTTATACTACATATAATTAATCATTTTCAGATTTTTGAATATGTGAATTTTAATTATTAAAGAGAAATACATATTTGATTATGGTAAATCGAAAAGAGTTTACTTAATTCGTCAAACATCGTAATAAAATGTCGTTTGGTGACTCTCGTTTACCTTCTAAATAAAAAATACAACCTCTCTAATTTCTATTTTGGTGATCTGGAATCGATTTTACTTGCTACATTCTCTTCTTGTTTGAGCAAGCATAGTCAATTGTAGAAATTTAAGTTGCAAAATCAGGGTTGTGTCAGTAAGAAGAGTACAATAAGGGACGTATTAAACTATAAGAAGATATCTCATAATTAATAGAAAATGAGATCCCAATTAGTTTATTATGAGATTGAGTCTGTTAAAATCGATAAAATTCTTTTGAAACGGTTGAAAATGTCAAAAAAAAGGATCTTTTTTATTAGATTGAAATTTTGTTGTTTTGTTCGGCATATGTCTTCTACGTGTATTTTACTATCGATTAAATTTGATCTGATCTGTTTAAGTCTAATGAATCAAATTTGATTTGATCTAGTTCGGTTTGAAATTAAAATCAATTCAACTATTGGAAATTTGTTTTGTTGTATCCTGCACTCGTATTTGCGTTCCTATATGTGTGCTACATGAATATCTACTTACAACGTAAATTAATGAAACAAGGATGAACGTATGATTTAAATGATGCATTATACAAAAACACGACTTTTTATACTTTGCAATTGTAATAATAAGTTTACTGGTCATCATAATTATACTTTCGTATTTAATTTATAATGTGTTTACTGTAATGATATATACTTATAATATATTTATTTACAATTTCATTTATAAGTTTTTGATAGAGTATTAATTCTAGAGAGAAAGTGAGTAATTATATTTCTCAACTTCCAATCCCCTATAATTAGCCCCTTGGGGTCTATTTATAGGTAAAAATGTGGATTTGGGCTCCCAGCCTTGGGCTTAGGAGGCCCATTACAATAATCATGCCTTCTTTGGGCGAAATAAGGCCACTAATGGGCTGTGTACAATACTTAGTAAATACAGTGAAAAATACATTCTGCCTGGACGAAGTCCGGACGATGCGGTCCATGGACGATGCGGTCCTGGACGATGCGGATTCAGGGCTTCGCCCAAAGAATCCAGGCGATATCTTCTTTCTTGGACGCCGCGTGCCTTTGGCCAATGCGGGTGTCCTGCTGGTGTCTTTCTGGCCGTTGAGTATGTGGGTCATAGGGTCCAGGCACATATACTCTATCAGTTTTATTTCAATAAACGCCCTCATTTGGTTTAGCTTGGTTACATTTGGAGAAAGAATTTAAGATGAATCACATGTGTAATAAAAGAAAAAAATTATCAATAAATAAAAAGAAATCTTGTTTTGAACTCTTTTCCATGGATGTTCCACCAAGTTAATCTCATATCATGTTTGCTAATATTTGAGTGGTTGCAATTCATTCTTATTTTATTCACACTTTACAAATCTGTGATGTTTTAAATTGGATTGAAACTTTATGATCTGTTTATATTTGGTCTGAACTGGTCTAGTCTGACATGATAGATGTCTTGTCCGGTCTCACATTCTACTAGAGCGTGAAAGTCCTTGAAGGCATCAAGCACATGATCCTTGGATTTTAATAGGTACAACTATACCTTCCTTGAATGATGATCAATGAAGATCACGAAGTACAATGCACCACCAATAGATCTCTCAGACATTATCACACAGCGATGTGTACAAAGTCGGCGATGTTCTTTCTGCTTGTGGCGGGGAAGATCTTTGGAAAGCAACCATGCATTGTTTTCCACTTAAATAGTGAGCAAAAGGATCAAGTGTCTAACCTTTCAAGTTCGGGAGGAGATGTCTTCGAGCAAGTATGTGGAGACCCTTCTCACTGATGCATGTGTCCAAGTGTAAAACACTTTGTCCTCACTCGTGTGCGCCCTGGAAAACTTTCCATGGGGTCACTCATCCCAAGACTACTCCCTTGCAAGCACACTTAATTTTGCAGTTCTTTGTAGATGAGATCCCTTAAAAGGAGATGCACCTTGTTGGTATGAGTAGTACTATTAATTCCTTTAAATTAATCTCAAATAGTACAATGACTAACTTCTGCCATTTTCTTTTCAACAAAATCTTTATTGTTCCTGGCTCTTGCAAACCTATATTCCTTTGCCTTGCAAATGCCATGTTCCCTTAGGTACATAAAACCTCTTCCAGGCTCATGGCATAGACTCATGCTTCATCGGCTTCTTTATCCTTAAACGATTCCTTAAACTTAATAGGCAAGTGGTCAACTATTTGTTGTATTGACATTTCAATAGCTTTTAGATTCTCCTAATCCTTGTGTTCATATACGTACATTGCGGATAAGAGATCTGACGCAGCACAAAATCCTAAAAGTTAAGTTTCAAACATAAGTGATAGGAACCAAACATAGTACTAATGTTGGGGTTGTGAGAATTTCATCAATAAAGTACTCCTTCCATCCCTTAAAACTTTACCAAATTTGACCGGCACGGGGATTAATAAATTAAAAACTATGTGGTTGAGTTTTGTGCAGTGGAGAGAGAATTAACTGGAACCACAAATTCTTTACTTAAAAAGGAAAGTGGCAAAGTTAATTAGTGGGACGGAGGGAGTACTACTTTTCTACTGTGTTTGCTGCATTACTTATCAATAAGTACATATCAATAAGTTGCTCTGATACTAATTGGTAACACCTCCAAATTTTCCACCCAAAAACACCTTTAAATAATGATTTATACAAAAGAAATAATAACAACTTTATTTAAAAACATCAGAATTGTGCACCGGAAATTTTAAAGAGAAATAGGGGCTTTACCGCCACACTCGGTTTTAACTTAAACGAGTGCACAAGCTACTCCAAAATCAAATGTTCACTAATTAAAGATATTGGAAATGAAATTACAATGATTTACTAATTATGTTTTCTAGCTGAAACTCTCTCGAAATCAACTTCAACAAGATCAACTCACCACCTGCACGACATCACTAATTTGTTGCCAACTGCATTTCCAAAAAAGTTGGCATTTGCTCACTTTTTATCTGGTCAATTGCAATTTTTTTTTTTTTAAAAGACATATTAATAACAACAAAATATTATATGTAGTAGAATATAAAAAATTACAATGTAGCATTACACCTGACTAACTTCTGTCATTTTCTTTTCAATAAAATCTTCATTGTTCCTGACTCTTGCAAATCAATATTCCTTTGCCTTGCAAATGCCATGGTCCCTTATGTACATAAAACCTCCTCTAGGCTAATGGCATTGACTCCCGCTTCATCGGCTTTTTTATCCTTAAATGATTTCTTAAACTTAATAGACAAGTGGTCAACTTTTTTTAAAGTACCCTCATGTGGGAATCTTTTTGGTGTATGTTCAATTGTTTGAAGGGGATAAAAGTAAATGGATTTAAGGACAATGTCATTAAGAACTTGAAAGAAAACAGAAAATAACCAATGTGAAGCACATTTATAGATATTTCACTGGTCTCCTACGAGCAAGATGACAATGTGAAGCTTTAGGTCTACCGGAAAATAACCAAATCAGTGGACCTTAACAACAAATCTTAGGAACTTTAGTAGCGATTCCAACTTTAGGTAGGAGTGAAAATTGAACATTCTAAGTCAGATTTCTATGTACGACAATGATCAGATATATCTGGATTTCCATCTCCCATGCATCCATGCAACTGCTACTTCGTCTTCCTCCACGGACACCTCCACCGGCTCCCACTGCTACTACCAGTGGAAGAGTTCTGCTCTGTTCTATATCTCCTGGAGAGGCGCTGTGCAAGAATTACTTTTGGTACCTCGGATTTGATTCTGGCAATCATTTGCCGCTTCCATTCTGGGCTTTCTATGTGCATCTCTGGTTCCATCTGCTTCTTCCTGTGTTCTGTGGTTTCTTTGGGTACCTCACATGGTGGGCGGTGGAAGGTTCTTCTTCAGCAATCTCATTGAGAGAAGGTTCTTCTTGAGCAATCTCATTCAGAGAAGGTTCTTCTTCAGCAATCTCATTCAGAGAAGGTTCTTGTTTGAAATTCCTTTTTGCGTTCGGCCCTTTGTGGGCGGCCGGGGGTCTACGCCCGAGAAGGTCATAGGCAAGTGGTCAACTATTTGTTGTATTGACATTTTAACAGCTTTTAAATTCTTCTTATCCTTGTGTTCATATACGTACATTGCGGATAAGAGATCTGCCGCTACTGCCGCAGTGTAACACCCTAAAAGTTAAGTTTCAAACATAAGTGATAGAAACCGGACATAGTGCTAGTGCTGGGGTTCTGAGAATTTCATCAATATAGTACTACTTTTCTATTGTGTTGAATAAATTCCACTTTTGGTCCTGCGAATTTTAGGTCAATTCCACATTTGGTCCACATCTTTCACTTTGTCCAGATTTGATACATGACTATTGAGTTTTCGCCCATATATGGTCCTTCCGTCATTGTTTTCGATGGTTAAAATCGCCGGAAAAGGACCACAAACGGTTAAAAAACACTAGTCAAGTACCAAAAGTGGATAAAGTGAAAGAAGAGGACTAAAGGTGGAATTGGCACAAAACTCGTAGTACCAAAAGTGGAATTAATTCTATTGTGTTTGATGCATTACCTATCAATAAGTACATATCAATAAGTTGCTCTGATACCAATTTGTAGCACTCCCAAATTTCTCATCCAAAACAAATTGAAATAATAATAATAGCAACTTTATTTTAAAACATCAGAATTGTGCAACGGAAATTTTAAAAGGAAATAAGGGCATTACCGCCACATTCGGTTCTAACCTAACCGAGTGCACAAGCTAAAACAACTTA